TAAAATCTTTAAAAAAATAAAAATAAAAAAATAAAAAAATAAATAAAAGCCCCCATAGTGATTTTGATTTACAGTGAGCAGTAACAACCATTGAAGTCCCCCATTTTAGATATGAGAATTAGGGACAAAGAGATGGTTCCCAATCTCTCTGGAGTGGCAAAGTATTCTTTGGGATACTATTTTCTGATGATATTAACATTCATCTGATATAAATGACCTGTGTTATCCTCTCTTAACAGCAGCCTAGTTTTGGAAAACCAGGGGACAATTAGTACACCGGGTATTCCAAGAGGGGAGGAAGAATTTTCAAGGAATGTAATAGATGAGTAAACCTGACAACATTAGAAAAACTCCATAGTTTTATTAAAGTTTCATTGAATAAATATATTTAAAGAAATTAGAACTGTACCTGGCATATAAAAAGGACTATTTAAGTATTTGTTATATGGAATAATATGGGAGGATGCCTCCCCTCATTACCCCGATACATGCTACATATAGGTAACTGGAAACATCATCAGGAGCATGAGTCCAAGACTACTTCACAGGGACCAAATTCAGCACATGACTCTTTCTGTAAATAAAGTTTTATTGAAACACAGTCACACCTATTTATTTACATAGTATTTATGGCTGCTTTAAAAATTTTTTTCTTTTAATTCTAGTGTAGTTTACATAAAGTGTATTAGTTTAAGGTGTACAACAGAGTGGTTAGACAATTCTATACATTACTCAGGGTTCATCATGGTAAGTGTCTTCCCCTCTCTCAGCCATCCTTCTACCCACCTCCCCTCTGGTAACCATCAGTTTGTTCTCTAGAGTTCCAAGTCTGTGTTTTGTCTTTCTCTTTGTTCATTTGTTCCTTAAATTCCACACAGGAGTGAAATCATATATTTATCTTTCCCTGACTTTTCACTTGATATTATACCCTCTAGATCCATCCATGTTGTTGCAAATGGCAAAAAATCGTTCTTTATTATGGTTGAGTAATAGACTGTTGTATGTATATACCACATCTTCTTTATCATTCACCAGTTAATGGACACTTGGGTTGCTTCCATATTTTGGCTATTGTAAATAATGCTGCTATAAACACAGGGGTGCATATATCCTTTTGTATTAGTGTTTTTATATCCTCTGGGTAAATATCCAGTTATAGAATTACTGGATAATATGGTAATTCTATTTTTGGTTTTTGAAGAAACTCCATACGGTCTTCTATAGTGGCTGCACTAGTTGATATTCCCACCAAAAGTGCATGAGGGTTCCATCTTCTCCACATTCTCATCAACACTTGTTTTTTGTGTTTTGGATTTTAGCCATTCTGACAGGGGTGAGATGATATCTCATTGTGGTTTTGATTTGCATTTCCCTGATGATGAGTGATGTTGAGCATCTTTTTATGCAGTCTGTTGGCCATCTGGATGTCTTCTTTGGAAAAATGGCCGTTCACGTCTTCTGCCCATTTTTAAATTGGATTATTTGTTTTTTTGGATGTTAAGTTCTTTATATAAATTGGATACTAACCCTTTATCAGGCATGTCATTTGCAAATATCTTCTCCCATTCTGTAGATTGTCTTTTAGTTTTCCTGTTTTCTTTGCTGTACAGAAGCTTTTTACTTTGATGTAGTCCCAATTGTTTATTTTTACTTTTGTTTCCCTTGCCTGAGGAGGCATATCTAGAAAAATGTTATGGCCAATGTCAGAGAAATTACTGCCTGTGCTCTCTTCTAGGATTTTTATGGTTTCAGATCTCACATTCAGGTTTCTTAACTATCTTGATTTTTTGTGTTTAAGAAAGTGGTCCAGTTTCATTCTTTTGCTGTCCAATTTTCCAAAGACCATTTGAAAAAACTTTTCCCATTGGACATTCTTGCCTCCTTTGTTGAAGATTGACTATATAATCATGGATTTATTTGGGGGCTATTGTGTTCCATTGATCTATGTGTCTATTTTTGTGCCAGTACCATACTGTTTTGATTACTACAGCTTTGAAGCATATCTTGAGATCTGGAATTGTGATACCTCCAGTTTTGTTTTTCTTTTTCAAGACTGCTTTGTCTATTTGGGGTCTTTCATGGTTCCATGCAAATTTTAGGGCCGTTTGCTCTAGTTCTGTGAAAATGCTATTGGTATTTTGACAGGGACTGCATTACATGTGTAGATTACTTTGGGTAGTATGGATTTTTTTACCCATATTTGTTCTTCCAACCCATGAGCATGGAGTAACTTTCCATTTGTTTGTGTTATCTTCAATTTCTTTCATCAGTGTTTTACAGTTTTTAGAGTATGGGTCTTTCATCTCTTTGGTTAAGTTCATCCCTAGGTATTTTAGTATTTTTGACACAATTGTAAATGGGATTGTTTTCTTAATTTTTCTTTCTTCTGCTTCATTAGTGTACAGGAGTGCAACATACTTTGGTATGTTGATTTTTTAAAAGATTTTATTTGAGAGAAAGAACATGGTGGGGGCGGAGAAGAAGAGGGAGAAGCGGACTCCCAGTTGAGTGGGGAGCCCAACAGAGGGCTCAATCCCGGTACCCTGAGATCAGGACCTGAGCTGAAGTCAGATGCTTAACCAAATGAGCCACCCAGGTGCCCCTCTGTATATTGATTTTGTATTCTGTGACCTTACTAAATTCATTTGTCGGTTCTAGTATTTTTTGGTGGAGTCATCAAGGTTTTCTATATAGTATCGTGTCATCTGCAAATAGTGAAAATTTTACTTCTTTATGAATTTGGATGCTTTTTCTTTTTCTTGTCTGATTGCTGTGTCTAGGAATTCAAGTATTATGTTGAATAAAAGCGGCGAGAGTGGACATCCTTGTCTTGTCCCTGACCTTAGGAGAAAAGTTCTCAGTTTTTCATATTGATTATAATGTCAGCTGTGGATTTTCATATGTGGCCTTTATTATGTCGAGGTATGTTCCCTCTAAACATACTTTGTTAAATGTTTTTATCATGAACAGATGTTGGACTTTGCCAAATGCTTTTTCTGCATCTACTGAAATGCTCATATGGTATTTATGCTTTCTTTTGTTGATGTGAGGTACTTATGGCTGCTTTTACACAGAGGTTTTATGAACTGCAAAGCCTAAAATGTTTACTCATTGGCCTTTTACAAAATTTGTGGACCCCTGATCTAGATAATTCTTCTACATTACCAAGATAAGAGCAAAAGTATTTGTACTGAGCCTCGTTTTTCATGCCTTTTCCATAATTATCTACCTCATTCTGAGTTTTGTGCTTTTAAGTCAGATATACCCTAACATAAGAACAAATTAAAATATGCTAACATTAAAGTAAGTTATATTGGAAGAAACCACAGACCCTGACATTTTTTACGAGATTCAAGCAGACATATCCAATGGTTAGGATTCTATGAAGTTGCTAAAAATGATCTCTCTTTAAGGTTAAAATAACATAAGACTATCCTTATGTTTCAATGCTAAATGAAAAAGTCCAATTCAACATTTTATAAAGTATGATCACAACTATGTGAAACAAACAAATTACACATTTTCACAGGATAATGTTTTCTACAGAAAAACACATCAGAATGTGTTGGCTTTGAGTGACAGAAACATGACTTTTTTGGTCTATTTTTTATATAGTAAACTCTCTATAATAAGCAGGCATTATTTTTATAATAAAAATAAACTTGATTTTTTTAAATATGGAATATGAATTCTGTTTGTTTTTAAGTCTGGGATCAACAATTTCTAGCACTTATGTGTTAGACATGGCACATGATATTTAAGTGTCTCACAAACAAAAATGGTGCTACTACTAATGTCTCATGGATGTACAACTCTGATGTTTACAAAGCTTTCTTTTCCGGATACATTATCTTACTTGGTTCTAACTACTTCAAAAAAAAAAAAAATTAAAGGGCTACAATTGAAAAAAGTAGGCTACCAATTCATTCCTTGTGGTTAATGTAGAGTACTCTTGAAAATTCACCACACTTATCCTGTTGATGCTAACTGTTCCTCTCTCTTGATACCGTGTGAGAATTTTTCTTCTTTTACTTGAAGTCCTGAGAATTCGCAGATATAGAGGGCCCTTGGAATCCCTTATGTCCTGTTTGTTCATATTTCTGTAACAATGCAAGTTGCATCAAAACCCCAAAATATTTTTGCAATGGCTTTCCAACCACAGTGCAATCCTCTAAAGGCCCCATATCAATAAAAATCACATTTGAGGCAAGGTGGCCATACAGAACTCAGGGTCTGACCATCTTGAAGGACTTCCTACCATCCACTGGGGCTTAATGGGCCAATCACACTTCAGAGAAGCTGACAACAATGAGCACACAAGTATACAGATTTCCTGAGTAGTTGGTAGGCAATCTTGCATCTTATAAACTAGAACCAGCTCTTTAAGAAAGAGATTTTTAAGATATAAATTTTATCATTCAAGTCCTCCAAGTTTTCCTTCCAGGTTCCTCTCTCATATGCCTGCATTATCCCAGCACCAGTTCCCTGTCACCCTTCCAGCTACAGTTAATTGTCCTATCCACCATCCTCAAGGGCCTTGCTTTCAGCTGTTGCTAACTGAATCTGTTTTATTAGTTGAAAAGAGCAACGTGTTTTATCCAAAGAGGATTTGCCTTTTGC